ACAATTACACTTTACTAACTACGAGCCAACTAGCTCTAGAGGGTTCAATTATCACTTATACCTTCACCGCTCATTTCACAACTCGAGCCAATGCTCTAAAGTTCAATTGTCACTTATACTTTCACAATTTATTATACAACTTGAGCCAACGCTCCTCAATGTTCATAGGTCACAATTCTTTCCACAAACTTTATACAACAATTAGAAATCATCACCAAGACATGAAAGATACAACAAAGTCATGATAATCATAATATAAAGACTCACGGGCATGCTAGACACCAACGTATAGATACTCGTCACCATGCCTATACGTCGTACTCAACAATTACCACATAGCAAATAAGACTCAACTCCTAATCCCTCAAGCTAAGGTTAGACCAAACACTTACCTCGATGCCTCGAACATAATTCACGATTCAATTATAGCTTTACCCCTTGATTCCACCACCAATTCGCTCATATCTAGTCACAAGTTACTTAATTACATCAATAAACTCTAAATGAATCAATTTGAATGCATGAAAATGAATTTTCCAAAGTTTTACCCAAAAAGTCAAAAATCGCCCCGGGCCCACATGGTCAAAACCCGAGGTTCGAACAAAAACCCGATGACCCATTCCCCCACGAACTCAAATATATAATTTGTTTTGAAATCGGACCTCAAATCGAGGTCCAAATCCCCAATTTTTGAAAAACCTAGGTTCTACCCAAAACATCCAATATTCCCCATGAAAATCCTTGATTTTAAGTTGAAATCATGTTAAAAGATGCTAAGAATTGAAGAAAGTTAGTTAAAAATGACTTACAATTGATTTGGAGAAGAAGGAATTCTTGAAAAATCGCCTAAGTGTGTTTGTGTTTGAGAGAATATGAAAAAAGGGGTTTAAAATCGGCTAAGTATAAAATTGCAGGTCTCAGATGTGGGAATTGCGAACAAGGGTTCGCAATTGCGAACCAACCTCTGCTGGCTTGGGAATTGCGAAAAAAGTTTGAGAAATACGAACCCGGGAATTGCGAAAAAAGTTTGGGAAATGCGAACAAGCCTGGGAATTGCAAAAAATGTTTGGGAAATGCGAACCTGGGAATTGCGAAGAAAGTTTGGGAAATGCGAGCAAGCCTGGTAATTGCAAAAAATGTTTGGGAAATGCAAACCTGGGAATTGCAAAGAAAGTTTGGGAAATGCGAAGTCTACAGGCCTGCAATTCCTTAAGTCCAAAATTTCACCCCGTGGCCTATCCAAAACTCAGCCGAGCCCTCGGGGCTCCAAACCAAATACACACACAGCCTCAAAAATATCCTACGGACTTATTCGTGTACTCAAATCACCAAAATAACATCATGAACATCGAATTAAACCTCAAAATCAATGAAATTTCTCAAAACTTCTTTAAACATCATATTTGCATTTAAGGTCCGAATCACGTCAAATGATATCCGTTTTTCATCAAATTTCACAGAAATATCGTAAATCATATATAAGACCTGTACGGGGCGCCGGAACAAAAATACGGGCCCGATACCATCATGTTCTAATCAAATTTCATTTCAAATTTCCTTAAACAATTTCAGAAAACAATTTCCTTTAAAAATTCATTTCTCGGGCTCGAGACCTTGGAATTCGATTCCGGGCATACGCCCAAGTCCCATATTTTCCTACGGACCCTTCGGGACAGTCAAATCACGAGTCCGGGACCGTTTACCCAAAACGTTGACCGAAGTGAAATTAACTCATTTTATAGCCAAATTTTACCGTTTTTCACAGATTTTCATATTTAAGCTTTCCGGCTACGCGCCCGGACTGCGCACGCAAATCGAGGTAACTCTAAATGAGGTTTCCAAGGCCTCGGAAACACAGATTTTAATTTAAAGCAAGTGATGACCTAATCCAGAAATTGCTAGTGGACAATTATATATTCCGCAACTTCTACCACAGAACACAAAACAGGGAAAATCATATGCATATTTTTCTGTAAAAGTTCTGATCATAATATTAAACATCCAGTCTAACAAAATTGTGGACATGGGATGATAGAATACTGGCCCTTCACTTTTCTGACAAAATTGTTGACAAAATAATCTCAATTCTCTCCTCTGTAAGACAAACCTGAATTTTCCTCCAACTTCCATGAAACTGTCAAGACATTCTTGAAAGAAGAATTGATTTATGGAATAGGTCTGCATAAATGCCAAGAAAAGAAGAAAAGTTGTTGCAAGCAAAGAAATAAAATGCTAAAATTGTGGCTTTGTTGATATGTGCGCCTCTTTGTCCTACTATCATAGTGTTCCTGGATTATCTTTGTCCTCTGCTCTAGATTAGTGAATAGATTTCTTCACATTGCATTCATCACTGAGTTTTCTTCTTTTCCTGAGCCATTGAGATTTAAAAAAGGTCATGGGGATGGCTGACTTGACTACTCTTTCCTGTGTGTTTGACATCCAGTGAACTATGACAAGTTTGATAAACAAGTAATCTCTTTAAAGCCTCAAGAAAATGAACAAACTCCCACTTCACTTGTCCTTTCTTTCTGCTTGTATTTCCCAAAGGTACATAATTCAAGAAATTGCTGAGGGTTTCAGGAGTTTCATCCAGGGAGTTGCATTTCCCTGGAAGTTCAACTCCTCGATTTATATTTTAATATGGTCTTTATTTTGTTGCAGATGAACATCAAGTGATAAAATCTATTAGGTTGAAGGTTCAGGATGTCCATAACTTGGAGAATGGATCGCGCATAATTGTTGAATGTGATGAGTTTGCTCAACCTATTGGAAAATCAGCCGGCATTCTTGCAGGATTTTTGGGGGAGCTTGCTACAGATCCTCGCTACTTTCCAATTGGCTTTGAGAGTTGGGCATTAATGCCTAAACCTTTTGTGCACCGTGTTGTTAATGATTTCGTATTGGTAATGCCTTTTAATTCTTTTACTTAGTTTGTATGTTATAGTTGTTTTACTTAGATTTTTGTTGGAAAGAGTTGCTGTGTTGTTGATTGGAAATTCTGTCAGCAGTAAACTAACATATATTATTTTTGTCAAGCCTCGGTTTTTCTTTAGGAGTGATCAGCAAAAGGTAAAAGGTTGACTTAACAAAAAGTGGAAGGAATTCAGGCTTAAACTATGGGATGAGGCCAATGATTCATTATTGAGCAAAGAAGATATCATTAAGAATGCTCCAGAAGGCATTCCCATGGACCAATGGGCATTGTATGTTAACTATCGGTCCAAAGAAGAAACAAAGGTTCGTATTCTTCTTCTTATTTCACTGCTTGTCTTTGTTGCTTCTTCTCTGCCACTGCTGTGGCTTCTCTTTTTTCCCCTCCTTCTTCTTCTTCTTCTTCTTCCTCTTCTTTGTTTCACGCAAGTTTATGCTAAAATAATACAAGTGTACCACTTTATGGTAAAGTCCATATAGGGATTTTTATTGATTGAAGCTCCAATTTTGTAAAACCAGGTTTAGTTGCCAGAGTAGTTAGTTAGGTTGGCTTTTTTATGGTTGATTAACTTCATTCATTTGTGTATTGTTTGAAGTGACTCCTTTTTTTCACTTTGTAATGGCAAACAACTATAAGGAGTTGATCACTGAGTATATCTATCAACATTAATTAGACACTCTTCATTTTAATATAGATCATGCTCTTGGAATAGTACATGACTTGTTTTTATATAGATACAATAACTGTGCCCAGTTAGATACTGAGAAAGCTAATAGATGGTCTGCTACAAAGGCTGGTGAAGCTCCTAATAGTTCAGTTATCATTTCTTGTTTAGTTCTCTAAAGCTTGCAGCAAAATGAATGCCAGTGTCTTGTTTAGTTCAGTTATCAATTGTTGCTTTTTATATGTAACAGAAATTCTCCTATTTTGACTCGTAGGCGCTTTGCTTGAGAAATCAACGGATTCGAGGACAACAAACACTTCCTCATACTAGTGGTGCTATGAGTCTGGCTAGAAGAAGGGATTTGATGGTAGTTTAATATGACATACTTACTGGTACGTTCTGTGTATTAATATATTCTTAATTAACTAAGTTTACTTTTTTAAAATTTCAGAAGAAAATGGGGAAAGAAGTTGATCGAGGCAAAGTGTGGACTGAGACTCATAAGAGGAAAGATGGGAGTTATGTGAATGATCAAGCTAGGGATATTGGGGTAAGTGTTATTTGGTGCT